TTCTTTTATGATAAACTGGTGATGGTAGGAGGTAGATTATTTTCATATCCTAATTTGGGGGCAGGGGGGAGCTAGCAAGCAAAACTTTGTTAATCTCCAAAATGATTGAGTTTTTAGAATTTTATATTGTTCTACAAATCCAAAAGCCCCTATGTATTGTACACACACCCAGCTTTACTTTCAGCAGCAGAAAACCCGTGAGGTCAGAGTCAGTGGGAGACATATTTAAGAATCTGTAGCACTGAGTATCCAAAAAGGCTTACGTGACATCATCGACCCAAGCTTACCTAGGCTGCATCTCTTTCACTCTGATGTTTGAAATGCCAAAAATCTCATTAAAAAGCCAGCAGAATTTTACAAGGATGGCAGCTTCTCAAAAGAACCAATCCCTTTCTTTGGCATCTTTACCAGAACACTCATCACTCAATTTGCAGCTTAAATATTTATTTCTCAGAAAAGAAAGAGGTGCTCTATCAAAATCATCTTGGGCTTTGCCAGGCGATGAGGAGCAAGCCTAAATCTTCATGATCCAGGAGGGTGATTCCTACAGGGATGGGGGCAGTTGGGATGCTGGTACTAATGAGTGTTTGGGTCTAGGTGAGGTTAACTGTGCATCCAAATTCTTTGGTGAAAACTATCTCCTGTAGATTCCCTAGATATTATCTGAGGACTCCTAGTAAATACTCTGACCAGGAGTTATAACCTGGGGGATTCAGGCCTAGTTTCCTTTCAATCTTTGAAATTTTATGCATTTGGAACCTTATCTTGAGAAGGATCCCAAGCTTCTCTGACCGTCAAAGGCGTCCGTTATGAACATGGCAGGGTCCTCACATGAAAATTCTGTCCAGTTCTGTCTCAGAGGAGTCAGGCCTGTTCCCACCTCAGGGCCACTTGCTGTTCCTGTCAGGAGCTCTCTCTTCCCAGTCACTTGAGTACCTTACTCCTTCAGGTCTCCATTCAAGTGTCACCTTACCAGGGAAAGCTCGCCTGACTGCCTATGTAAAATAACATCGCCCATGCCATCACTCCACTTTATTTTTGTCATAGCACCTGCTCCCCGCTCCCCAACCTTCTGTAATGTCTCTGCCCCTCTCACTGGATCAAAGCTCGCTGAGCCTGGATGAAGGCAAGGGCCTTTTGTTTACTGCTGTACCCCACTACCAAGAATAGTAACGAGCACGTGTACACTTGGTAAATATTGATCACATGAATGCATCGTCTTTAAAACAACTCGGTGCTAAATGTTAAAAGAATGAGGTGCTTTTCAAATTTCTTAATGGAAAAAATACTCTATATGTGAGCAACAGCCATCAAAGTTGAAAATAGACTGTCTGACCCCAAGTTCACCTTGAGGACTTTGTCTTATAGAAACGCTTGCACATAAAGTGATGGTCACTGTGGTATTGCCTGTCAGAATGAATGCTAGAAACAACCGGAAGTCCACTGGGGAGAACTGGGTACACTGGTTTGGCATACCATGGAAGTAACTAGAGTCACACCATGAAACAGTAAGCGGCAATACATGCACAGGCAGGGAAGCACTCTGCCAAGGCAATAGCAGCAGCTGCTAACATTCGTGCCAGACATTGCTCTGAGCACTTTACGTGAACTCTCTCTTAAGCCTCCCAACCACCCTGTGTTATAGCACCATTTAACAGATGAGGAAACTGGGCTACCAGCAAGGTCAAGTCACTTCCCAAGGTCACACAGCCAGGAAATGGCAGAACTCGAATACAAAGCCAGTTCACTGGCACCCTTAATTACTATGCCACACTGTCAATATAGTGAGTAACGTGATTTATTTATATACATATTATATATATATATATATATATAATACATATTATATATATATATATATATATATATATATATATATATATATATATATTAAGGCAGGTAGGATTTGGAAGACTTTATGTATCATATGCTTTTATGTGCCTACTTTCTGAAAGAATACATAAAAACTCATTACAGAGCCTGCTCTGGGGAGAAGTCGGGGGACTGTGGTAGGAGTGAGATTTTATTACTGCACACTCTTTTGTACCATCCAAATCCTTGCCGTATTACCTAGTCAAAAACACACTGTGTGAATACTCAGTCGCTGAATTGTAAGGCTGGGATGAACCCAGTCATTTTATTGGGGGAGGTGTAAACTGAGGCACAGGCATGCCTGAGGCCACCCAGGTAGGGAGGCAAAACCCTACGGCACTGCCAGGGCCCCACACTCCTCGCCCATGGGCCTGTTGCCTTCCCTGTTCTCTCACCATTTCCACTATAGCTGACTCAGCTGTCACAACTGGAGACTTTCAAAAGCTTCCAATTACATAGAATTGGGGGGAAAATTATGATTTGGAATTCAAGTGTTGACACTTGAAAAATACCAACTCCCTTTCACTACAAGTGCTTTAGCATGTTACTAAGGCTTTCTCTGCAAGTCTCTGGAAAGGTTATTTTCAGAACATTCCACTTAAACGTGGAGATGCAGGGTTCTCCACTGTTTCTGGGAGCTGACACCACAATTTACATTAAACAAATGTTTTGAAAATTAGCTGTTCACGGTTCCAATTTCAGCATCCCCCAGGGTTTAATGTTAGCCAAATACTCATACAGTAAGCAGACAATGTGTTTTATTGTGTGGAAGAAAAACAGACCACCATAACAGACTTCCTGCTTTTGTAATCAAGGGAAATGTTGAGTGTTCGAGTGATTATTGGCATATGGTTATTAGAAACACTGAGTTCCAAATATAGCTACTAGGAGCTACAGACACACACAAACTCCCTTCTATATTTCAAGTCCAAAGAGAAAGAAAAAGCCTTCCTAGTTTTTGGTCAATTGGGAAGTTCAGAAAGTCATCGGGCCAAACCACTAGGGGAAGAATCTGGGTGAGAGGGAGCCGGGTTCAGCCCAGGGTTGCCGGACACACGGAGTCAAAAAGGCTGCTCACATCAACGGGCAGGGGGTCTGCAGGAGGGAGGGCCATGGCTCTGGCCACGCTAAAGGCAGGCTAGGCTGAGGGACTCGAATCTGCCCTGCTGGCCCCCAGCGCCCAGCACCAGGGGCCCTGCTCTGTGAGCAGCCAGCTCCCTGAGGCCCACTATCAAGAGATGACAGGTTTGGCATCTTCATCTTCCTTTTTAACATTTAAAAAGGGTTGCACAGGTAACTTTCCCCTGCCTTCCTCACCCTGCTCCTCTCAACTGCAAATGTTGAAAGGGGGAAAAAAGGGCAGCCGGGTGGCTCAGTTGATTAGAGCAGAAGCTCTGAGCAACAGGGTTGCCGGTTCGATTCCCACATGGGTCAGTGAGCTGCACCATCCGCAACTAGACTGAAGACAATGACTTGAGCTGAGGTGCTGCTGAGCTGCCGGTGGGCGGCTGGATGGCTCAGTTGGTTAGAGCACATGCTCTTAACAAAGTTGCCGGTTCGACTCTCACATGGGATGGTGGGCTGCCTCACCCCACCCCCACTCAGACAACTAGATTGAAAATAGTGACTCAACTTGGAGCTGAGCTGCGCCCTCCACAACTAAGACTGAAGGACAACAACTTGACTTGGAGCTGATGAGTCCTGGAAAAACACACTGTTCTCCAATAAAGTTAAAAAAAAAAATTCTTAGAAACGGGGGGAAAGAAACAGTTCAATGCGCTAATTTTATAGTTAGCAGGAATGAGAACAGGGCATTCTGTGAATCCCCGCTTGGCCCTAAGCCTTCTCCAGGACTTATGAGCTCAGTGGAGTGCAAGCGTCTGGAAATAAACTTACAGGACACTTTTAATGTCGGGTTTCTCTCTCCAAGACCTGGGCGTGATGGGAGCTGGGTTGAGTAGGCTGGGTGGCCTGTTGGCAAGAGGAATTTCGATGCTGTTGTTTTCAGGGAAGCATTTGTTTGTGCGCAGAAGGATGTACCAAAAAATACAGCCTCTTCCACTTCAACTACAGAAGGCCCACACACAGTGTGGCTGGGAGGTTAGAGGTCAGAGACAGTGCCCCACGTGGGGAAAGCCAGTCTGTCTGCACAGAGTGGCCAGGACCTGATCTTTGGACTGGCTCAGAGGAGGGGACATGACAGGAGCGTGGCTCCAGGTCAGGGCTCCTGGAGCCCATCCTGGGAGGTGACTTCACCATCTCACGCTGATGAGAGGCTTTGGGCTCCAGTAGGAAGAACATCCTGAAATGGCAACCTTTGACCCCATGAAGCATTTTCAAGGAGTTTTTATTGAGGCTCTTACAAAATAGGGGGGTCACCTTGTGTCAGAGGTAATTTCCTCCTAGTCTGGCTGGAGGCCAGAAGGATGGCTGCTGAGGGGCACCACAAGGCAGGGCAGCCTTAGGGTTCCACTTTATTAAAGACATCCCTAGTGTGTTGGCCCTGGAGCCAACTGTGACAACAGCTGAGAGGCAGGGCCCAGCGACAAAGGAACACACTAATGAGAGGGTTTCTCTCACCACAGAAACAGCAGCACCCAGGACCTAGTCTCAGTCCAAGTTGGGTCTGGCAGGAAGGGCCTGAACAATGCATCTGTGTTACTCCTTAACGAGGCAATCATTCTGAAAAGCAAACTGTCTGGTCTGTCTCGAACATGCTCAGAGGAATGGCAACATAACACTGGTTCTGGGAGTGCCAGGGGCAAATGGGCAGCTGGCACCTCTGGGCAGGACCTTGATGGCAACTGTCCCTAGCGCAGGGGAGCTCCTATACACACAGGTCCCTTCTCACAGGCGTGGGCACCCCCCTGAAAGGCCAGGCACGGCATCCTTCCATCCTGATCTGTCCAGCACCCTCCCCACATCCCCCTAGGAAGCCAGTCCCCCAATTGTGTCCAGACTCTGGCCACTTAAGCAGAACTGGGCCCTCCGTAAACAGCTCCCATATCTTCCTCCCATATCTATCCGCCCCATCAGTGGGATAAGCCTTCAGCAGGAAGGGGGCCCCTGGACCCCACCTACGTACACCTGCCCTGTTCCTCCCCACACACCCCTGCCAAATCGCATACCTTGGATTTCCGGGCCCCTTTCTTGCCTCCTGTTTTCTTAGACACGGGCTTCTTCTGGGATGGAGACTTGGCCTTTTTGGCAGGGGGTGGCGTGATGATGGCTTCCAATTTCCCTTTGGATCCTCGTTTCTTCGCTAGCAACTCGGGGTGGATGTTTGGTAACACCCCGCCACTGGCTATGGTGACTCCTTTTAGCAGCTTGTGGGGAAACCAAAGTGGCAGATAGTGAGCCAGACCACCCTGCCCTTGACCTTGAAGAAGTCAGCCCTGCCCATCCATGCTTTCGATTTGGCTGGTAGGGCTCCTTCCTCCATGGCATCTACATGGATGCTGACAGGACCCAGGCTCACTACACGGGGAGCAAATCATCAGAGTCCGAGCCAAACACCTTGTTTCCTCCCCCCACCCCAGTAAGGCCTTCAGGAAAAACTACCATAGGTGGGGGCAGGGAAGCTGCTAAGAGGCCAAAATGCAGTCAATGCTTTTGATAGCCACCCAAATGCCAACTGCCCTCTGCACAGGCAGCTCTGTCTCTTTCTCAGGGTGCATGAGTGCCTGCCTAGGTGTCTGGGGTGGGGGTGACTAGGAGAGCCCCATACCTGATTTAGCTCTTCATCGTTGGCCACAGCCAGCAGGATGTGCCGGGGCGTGACCCGTCCCTTCTTGTTGTCTCTCGCTGCATTGCCGGCCAGCTCCAGAATCTCCGCTGTGGGGAGCAGAGGGGAGAGCACATGGTCAGAGCATCAGATCCTGGCCCCCTCACGGTGCCAGGAACGGGTGCAGGCAGTGGCTTCACGAAGCAGCTACCCTGAGGTGTGAAGCTGCAGGTGGTCTGCCTGGCACACTTTGAGTCGAGTCACAGAGGTGTCAAGTTAAACCCCTGGTCCAGCCCCTTTGTTTTGGAGATGAAGACACAGAGGCTTAGAGAGAAGGGACTAGCTGAAGGTCCCTCAGTAAGAAGGGGTGGAGCTGAGATTTGAACCTATCTCCCAGAACAGAGCTGCCTGCAGTTGGCAGCCAGATGTCACCAGGACCAGCCCCAAGGAGACAACGGCGTAGCCCCCGAGACTGAACCATGCATCTGGAGCAATGGGCCATGCCTGGCTGGGTTTATGGGGCTTCAGGGGGTGGGGGCACATTACACGTGCTTAGTAAGTCTCTGCAGATGGAGTCCCTGTTGAATGCCTGCACATTCGCACTCAAAACTAGGATATGCCTGGAATTTTTGCATAGTCAATGTCATAAAAACATAAAACGGAAGGGGGGGGGAGGGATGTAGCAGATGAAAAGAGGCTAAAGAGACATAACAACCAAATACAATGTGTCAATCTGCCATGAGGTCCTTATTACAAAACAAGCTAAAAAAGTCATTTTGGAGACAACTGAGGAGATTTGATTATACAGAGGGTGCCCGAAAAATGTATACACATTTTAAGAAAAAAAAAAACTATTACATTAACAAAAGATGACTATAAATCATGTGTATACATTTTTTTGGCATCCTAGTAGACTGGCTATCTGACACTAGAGGATTATTCATTTTCTTGGGTATGATAAAGGTATTACCATTCTGTAGAGAAAAGCTTGTTTTTAAGAGATACACACTGAAGTATTTAGAGGTGAAATGTCTTGATATATATGATTTACTCTCAAATAATTCTGAAAAAGTCTATAGCATAAAACAATTGTGGTGAAATGTTGACAGCTGTTAAATCTAGGTGTACATTGTAAGAGTATTCATCTTTCGGCATTCTATAAATTTGACATTTTTCAAAATAAAAAAAATCCTAAGAGGATAGGAGCCTGACTCCTATCTGGTGCTAAGTAGGGTTTATTTCCCTGTCTTTTGGGGTAGGCTCTCATGAGACAAAAAGATACCACAGCACCAAAGAGGGTGAATGAGAAGTGACCTTTGTTTCCTGGATGAAGGCCAGTTCACCTGGTCACTGTCAATCTCATCACCTCCTTTCCCAATGAGAAACACAGACTGTCTCAAAGTGTACCTGACACGCCCACTTCTGCCCATACCACAGCCCTGTGTCACGTCCTTCTAGCCCACCCCACTGGGCCCAGCTCAAGTCTGTCCTCTTCCTGGTACTAAAGAATTCCTAACATTCTAGGTTCTGTTGTAAACACTATGTGTCTCCGGCAAAGTCAACACTCAGAATCATTATAAATTAGAGGAAAAAATTCTAGCTACATGAAAATCATGTATTTAAAATTTAGGATATTACAAGTATTCATTGTTAAGATGTACTAATAGCTGAACCCAATGCAAAAACTGTTCTGTGTATAAAGCTGAAAAGCTGCTTGGCTACCCCTGCAAACTCCTGCAAACTCTCGTTTTGGTGGGGGTGAAAAATCAGTCACACCTTGAACACCAGGTTCCTCCCCCAAATCCATGGCAGGAATTCATTTACTTGGTAATCGCCACGCTGAGGACACAGGACACCAGAGGGCCCTGCCTGCTTGATGCTCCCAGGCCCCAGAGTCCTTCACCATGGAATTCACATGTGAAGAGTTCCTAGAGTGAGGTCCGGGGAAGGAGGGGAGATAATCAGCACCTCTCTGACATTCACCCACTAGTCTCAACAGAGCTATTCCCCATACAGCCTGCACAGGTGGGGAGATGGCCCACCTAGCAATTTCACTGATGCTTTCCTATAGGTGACTGTGGCAGTGTGTCCCAATGCCCCGCGGAGATGGATGTGTTAGCCAAGCAGAAAAGGGTGCTTGGGATGCCTAAATGACCTTGGCTTCCAGTGCCATGAATGCAGAAACGCCTCCTGGCCAGCCCAGCCTGCTCTTCATTCTTCATGTTCAGAGTAGGTAGCACATCTGCAACGCCATTGTCCTGACCACGGGCTGGCAGGGAGCCAAAGCAGGAGTCTGACCTGACGTGAGCACAGACCTGGGAGTGAGGGCACAGGAAGTAGAGCCAGCCACAGCTGTCACTGGGCTGGAGCCCGTGCAGTGCGGCAGGAAGGCTGGAGAAGGGCAGCTGGCATTGCAGAGCTGGTGCCCACTGGCTGACTTCCTGGCCTCCCCCCTTGCCTTCCCTCCCCTCCCCCAGTTCCTGAGGCCACAGGGAAGCACATAAGGGCCGTCAGTATCTGCAGAGCGAGAATATACAGGAGGCAGGTGGATTACAACCTTTTCCCCATAATGTGCTAAGAATGCTTTACCTGGCAGAGAGAGGAGAGACAGAGAGAGAGGAGAGAGAGAGAGAGAGAGGAGAGACAGAGAGAGAGGAGAGACAGAGAGAGAGGAGAGAGAGAGGAGAGGGAGGGAGG